GGAGGCCACAGGTCCCGGGGGGACGAGAGGTGCCTAAAACATTGGTGATGGGATTTGGGCAGGGAGGGGGAGGCCCGGGAGAGAGGGCTTTCTGCTCGATGTTCATTTAATTCTCCCCACCTCAGGGCTCCACGATGAGGATGATCGAGAGCGTTGACTCTGTGGTCACCAGGCCCAGCGAAGACCTCTGGGCCGAAATCTGTTCGTGCCTGCCCCATCCCGAGCAGAAGGATGCTAGCGATGCTTTTACAGACTCCTTCATGGATTCCTACGCTGATGGAGGAAGCCAGGGCAGCGGATCAGGTGGCTCTTCCCAAGCAAATCCGAAGCCGTGGGCACCTCTGAACGATTCAGAGGTGTATTTAGCATCCCTTGGTGAGTGTTGGGTAAGGCTTCCGTTGCCCCATTTGCTTAGGTGCCTGATGACAGCTATGGCTCTGTTTATGCGGCTAAGGTGACGATGCTCACAGCTCTGGTTGGAAAGGTGTCTTACAACTATTTCATAGAGCATCCGACTCGTTTCCTGCAAGTGCGTTAGTGGAAATGAGAAGCACGGTCATAGCTTCTTCAGCTATGCCAGAGAAAGGAACTTTTTATCAAGTACAAACCAAAGAATTCGGTGTTTTCCCCAAAAATAAGTGGGGTAGGGACCCCTGCTGGTTTTTCTCTGAAGAGTGTGTAGTTGCACTGTAGCTGACTTGGGGAGGGGAGATGCATTCTGAACTCATTACGGAGCCCGTGTGGTTTTTTGTGACCAGCATTTGTCTCTTTCTTTTTATGGAGCCTCAGGAGACGCTTCTGAGTAGAAACAGAAAAGTGAAATTTCTTTTTCTGTTTTCTGGTTGGAGAGGAGGGGGACAGGTGTGGGAAGGAAAGCTCTGACGCTTTCCCAAATCACACCCACTAGAATCTGTATTTTAAGATGACAGATCGTGCAGACTGTCTTTGCTCAATTGCTTCTCTTAATTCCTGCATAATCTATAAAGCCATAAATTGATTGTGAACAGCATAGAAGCACTTGATACGAGGGATGCTAAGGTTACCAGCACTGGAGCCAACATCCTAGCACAGCTAAGCGCCGCAGTCTTTAGCTCTAAGGCCATGGAATTTGTCACCCTGTTTTACGTATTCCCTACTCCCATCAGAGCCCTCATTGCACAGCAGCATTCAACCCCAGGACAGATGCTCCTGTTGCCTGTTGGGAGGAAGCTCTGGAGTTCTCCTGCTTTCCAGCAGTTGGGCTGCTACTCCCTCTGCCCATAGCAAAATATTCCATCTTTACAGCTCTTCCCCTTCTTCCCCTCCTGGGGAGCAGTTTTTATCCTGGGTCAGTTTGTAACCTGATTTGCAGTGCAGCCACAAACATCGTTGTCTTGGCTTGCGCAGGAGACTGCGTGCAAGGAACAGGCCAGGAGGAATGGGTGGCAGAAGTGGCTTTTCAAGCTTTTGTTTCTGTTAGAGCTTCCACCTTGCCTTAGCTGCTGTTTTAGACTATTATTTCACAGTAGGGGAAGTAGAGCTCTTAGTATCAGATCAAGGGTGCCACAGCAACAAGACATAAATCGCTCTTCTGGAATTAATTACTGCTGCAGTTCCAACTTGTTCAGAAAATGCCAGTGGATTAATTTTTACAAGCAGGCTTCAGGCTAGATCTGTGTCGGTTTTCTCACAGCCAGGATGAAAGCATCATGCTAGCACAAAGTTCCTCTTGAATATTCTGCCTAAGTCAACAGAAATATAAACCTGTTCCAGGTTTGTACCTGGCCAGGACTAGCGATTGTGAAATCGTAGCGTCAGCCTGGCAGTATCTTTGGACAGATATGGTAATTCAAATCTTCAGAACTGCTAGGGCCAGAGACTTTCCGTGACAGCTCAATTCTGCAACACAAGACAACCTCCAAAAAGCTCAAGAGGTGGGCCACAGCGTTGTGAACTCACCCAACTCAACCAACAATTTTACGCTTTTCAATAAAAAGCATGATTACAAGACAATACCTGGCCCAATTTAAGGAGGAAACCGTTATAATGGGATTTTGTGACCAGAGGAATTAATGAAATTTGCTTCCTTGTAGCTGTGTATTGTAGCTGGACTACCCCGTGTCTGGGAAGGAAGCGCTTTTCATTGTCCCCAGTGGTGGAGAAACTCAAACCACCACGTTCTGTCATGAGGCATCCAACTAATAACACTGCTGCACTCTCATTTTTTGTCCTTGGTTTGGGCACTATTTGGATTCACACTACAATTAGGATGATTTATATTCCATGCCAATTTGCATGGAAATTGTGGGAACTTAATGCCTGTGAGACCTGAACCCTCCGGTGTGATTTCACAGAAACCGAACAGTAAGCCTGGAAGTTACTAAAACTCAAAAATGGGCAGAGCTGACCTGATGGTGTAAACCTTATTTCCTTCAGAAGCATCACCTGAAAAATATGTATATGTACAAGAAATAGTAATGCAGACTTGAAGTACAGGGGTGTTGTGGTTTAACCCCAGCAGGCAGCTCAGCCCCCCCCAGCCGCCCACTTGCTCCCCTGCAGTGGGATGGGGGAGGGAATTGGAAAAAAGTGAGAAAACTCATGGGTTGAGATAAAGACAGTTTGATAGGGAAAGCAAAAACCGCGCAAGCAAAGCAAGGGATTCATTCCCTTCTTCCCAGGGCAGGCAGGTGCTCAGCCATCTCCAGGACAGCAGGGCTCCGTCACACTTAACAGTGACATGGACAGACAAATGCCATCACTCCCAACATCCCCCCCTTCCTCCGCTAGCTCTATATGCTGAGCATGACGCCATATGGTCCAGAATATCCCCTGATCAGCCTGGGCCGGCCACCCTGGCCATGTCCCCCTGGTCCCCCGCACACCTGGCAGAGAGTAGGAAGCTGAAAAGTCCTTGACCAGTCCAAGCGACCACTCAGCAGCAACCACGCCAGCAGCATGCCATCAACATTCTCCTCACACCAAATCCAAAGCACGGCACCATAACAGCTACTATGAAGAAAATTAATTCTATCCCAGCCGAAACCAGAACAGTATCCACCCCTCATTCTATCCTGCCTACGTCTTCTATCCCACCCTGTCATTCTGTCCCGCCCTTTCCAATACATTCTAATTAATCACCACCACTTTCCCTGTCTTTTGATACAATACAGAGATACCATTCCCTTAGTCTGTGGACCACTCATGTAAAATGTCCAGAAGTGTCCACAAAATGTCCACTGAGTTCGTGTAGTCCCTGACTTTGGGCTCCATCTTAGGACAGGGGAGGTGCTGTGTCGTGTGGAGTTACTGGGCACCAAAACTGGCTCGGCTCAGGCCACTGCTGCCCTTACGGTGTGGAAACGTTGCAGAAAAATGCCTTTTAAAATATTACTTAGTCCTGAAAAGTTAGTTTAACTTTCTTGATCTAGAGTCCAGATACTTCTTTTCTTCCCATTCAGAAAAACACAAAGATACTAAAGCCCCCTCCTTTGCCTCTTCACAGAGAGAAGACTGATGAGAATTAAGGGCTTGTCTCAAGAGGTGACCTCCAAGGATATGCTGCGCACGCTCTCCCAGGCTAAGAAGGAATGCTGGGACAGGTTCCTGCAGGAGAAGTTCGAGTCTGAAGTTTATCTAGAGGGACAGGACTCTGATGAGAGGTAATAAGCAGTCAACGAGAAGGGATTACCACTTACCATGTTGGCAAACAGGCTTTATTTCCTAAAAAAAAAAAAAAATCTAGCATAAGGTTTTGCCAGGGCTTCTGGTAGGACATTGTGGCAAAAATAACATCTCATTGCGACTCGGTAAGGCTGTCTCAGGCTTTCCGAACCAGCCTGATAACGGCCGTTTGCGTTGTACTAGAGGGGAGCACACAGAGCAGGTAGGGTTTGAGCTTTCAGTGCTGCTCGCTGACTTTCACATCCCTCGACCCAGCATGGAAACAGCCGGAACCTGCACGATAGTTTCCCTTGTCCCATTTGGGGTAGGGAAGGAACGGAGCGGAGGAGGGGACGCTTAATGTGTCTCAGATTGCCTTTTTATTTTTTAAGGCTTAACTTTAAAAGTGAAGCCGAGGCCGTTCCCTGCATGTTTGCAAGGGCCCAGTTAAGCACTGCTTCAGACACAAGTGGGATCGGGGGCTCGTTACAGGGCTGGTGCAAGGCCTGAGATTAGATTTCCCAAGTGGCTCTCCCTTCTGTGTCTCTCTCACAGTGCTGCTGCTCTGTCTCACCCATTACCCTTTACAGCTGATGTATGAATTAAGATGAGGGTCCTTTTCTCCAGCAGTCTCACATTTCCAATCACTTACAAGGCTCTCTATCTTTCTCCTTTCTGAGCTGACATTTTTCATGATTGCTTCTAGCCGAAAAGAAGATTATTTTTCTCCCTTGAAGAAAATCTACTTAAGCTAGTTTGGGAGTTTTAAGTCTGAAAAATAATCCCTGTTTATAAGGAGTTTTTAGATTCTTTCTTTGACCAGTAACTTCAATGTGATTTATATTTAAAACCAAGCTTTTGTAGACAAATGTGCTCCTTCCACTGCTGTCAAAGGCCGGGGTGTTAGCCGTGAAAGAATTTGCCTCCCTAGAATTTGACTGTGAAGTTAGAGGTCACTCCCCAGTAGTGCTGAAGCATTTGATTCTCACCCACCAATGTAATTAAACAAGCCTTAACATCTAAGCATAACAGATAATTTCAAGGACGTTACCAAATGAAATTCTGCTCTTGTGAAAGAGCAAGAGCAAGTTAATTTTGCTGTGGCAGGATCGAGTGACTTCAGTTGCACCTCTAGAAGATGAGCACGCACACACACAGACACATTCAAGAATTAGAATTCTAAACTTTTAGGGTTATAGCCAGCATTTAAACAAAGGCAGGGGTAGATCTGTTCTGGCCAGACCAGTTATTGCGAGATAGGCTGCAAGACTGTAATTACGCTAGTATATATTGAGAAACACCTATAGAATCCATAGTATGGTTAGCCTCTAGAATGTACACATGCTGCCTTTTTCTTCTTTCATCTTTGGGTGCTATTAACGGTCCCACATTTTTATATGTGCACCGTGGTTTGGGTGTGTTCCCCCCCCTATATTTCCTGATCTTCAGCACAGTTAGGCAGTTGGGGTTTTGTCTGGTTGGGTTTATTTTAACACTAGTTTTCTTACTCCCAGCCCAGAGAGCTGGAAATGGAATTGCAGTCTTTGGCTACAGAGGCAGACTAGTACTCCAAGAACGTGAAGGTTGATGTGCCTGCTCAGGAGTCTTTTCATCGAGAAAAGTCTGAGCGCAAAGCTGTCCCTGAAAAAGCCCAACTACAGCAGAACGTCTTTGTAGAATGAAAGATTCTGCTTGCTCCCCTGGCACACGGATCAAGCTCATGATAGTCCTTACCTGTGGCAGTAGGAATACCTCCAGAGGTGAAGGAAATACACGTGGAGGATTTTCCTGATGCTTCTTTCATACATTCCTGTGAGGCTTTGTTGCTCCTGTGTTTCACTTGGTGTCTTTGCTTTCCCCTCAGCACGCTGGAGCATCTAAAGCGATGGCTGCACCCTGATAAAGTGGCAGTCAATACCGAGGAGGTACAGTACCTCATCCCTCCAGAATCTCAGCCAGAGAAGCGGGAGACCGAGGAAGAACCTCCAGCTGCAGAGCAGTGAGGTACACGCTAGCCATGCCACAGAGCCACCGCTTGGCCGAACCCTGACGAAGCTGTATCCAGCCACAGTAATAACGGGGGGGGAGGTAGGGGGAAGTGCCAGTTATCAGTCATTTAAAAACCAAAAAAACCCCAACACACAGAAAAACCCAGCTCTGGACCTCCAGAGGTAGCGACTGGCATTTGTTACAGACAAGAGTGGAATGCCTGTGGCAGCGTACACTGAACTGAAATCTTAACTTTGGTCTTCTCCCAGCCCGTAGCAACCTGATCATTCCTGTCTGACTGTGAATCGTTTGTAATTCATCAGGAAACACATTAAAAATGCAGCTGTTCAGAAGCATTGGAAAACATAATGGTCTAGAACAGAACAGAAAGCCACTGAATCGGTTTTTCTTCCTGTCTTGTACCTTATTTGTTACTCAGTTGGGCGTATTGGGGTTTGGTTTTTTTTTTCCCCCCTTTCCTGCAAAGTCCACTGTGGGGTTTTCTATAGATCTTCACTGCCTAAGTCCAAGCTGGCCCCGAGCTGTGCCTGGAGGCAGACAGATATTTTTCACCTGCATGAATTTGGAACCCTCATTGCAATCACTGAATTGATGGTGTCGCTGCCACTGTAACTCTTTACCATTCCTCTCGACCTAAGGTGCCCTCCTACACTATCCTGTGTTATAGGCCAAACTCTCTATGATAGAATAGACTGGGGGAGGGGTATTTTTGTCTCTTGTTGATCATTTTGTACCTGTTCTTGATCTCCAGCCTCTCCAAAAGAGGGTCGGGAGATTCTGTGCCGGGAAACCAAGAGCAATCACCAGGGAGGCTACAAATAACTTGTTTTCATCACAGACTTGCATAGAATTATCTGACTTTAAATACATTCTAGTACTGAACTGGTTTCACATCCTGTTTAACTCTGCAGCAGGTTATTTCCCATTACTAATCAAAGAATCTGACGCTTCTTTAACCAGCGCTTTCTGTCTTGGCATTGACACCAAAGGTCGATAGAGGGAAGCAGCGCACGTCTTCTGTCAGATAAAGCTGGTTAAGACAGAAGCTGGAAGGGGTAGTTCTCGTAGTTTACCCACTCTAGGTTCATACCATCTTCAGTACGTACCTGTATGGAAATACGTTTTTAAAAGCAGCTGCTCCATACACCTCCCTTGTTTCCTCTCTCTGAAATTGTAAGCAGTGCTGTCATCCCATTCACCGACAGCTGTTAATCTGCTGGTGCTTCTCCTCGGTGCCATGACTCAGTGTTTGCTCCCCCATCAGCTTTATTGGTTTAACCACCCGCCCCAGGCTCACTCCTCACGAGAGTCACGCTCGTAGTTCTCTGCTAGAACAAACACCTTTTTTTTCTTTTTAAGACTTGAAAAACATGATGAATCATCTCTGTTCATGACACAAGACTTGTGAGTCTCGCCTCTTGTTGGAGGATGAGGTTTGTCATATTTTAAATGTCCCTTTTAATTTATCTCTAAAGAGAGTCTGCTTTCCTGTACAGATACAGTGCTGTAAATCTCTCTCACCCGTGATGTCCAGCAATAACAAAGATGCTTCTGAGTATTTACCAGACGCGGTATGTACGAAGGGAACGATGACTCTCTGGCCCCGGGCTGTTTCATAGTCAATATGTTTCCTTCTTGTGATCAGCAAGGACTGGGAAGATGCTTTATATCATTTAGTCTATTCCCGTTAAAGCTGTCCAAGAAAGAAATGTATTCAAAATAACTATACTGAAACACTGACAGTTCCAGGTCCGGATAACCTAGCATTTCCTCTGGAGACAGGACCTCGGGGAGAGTAGCTCTCACCATTTCATTTTTAAAAATAGCTCAGAAGCCCAAGGAAAAGGTCTGGGGAAGAATTGCTGTCCAAAGACAGAATTATCTGAGGTGTTTGCCCTTGCCTTGGTGCTCTGGCAAGACGTACACAGGCCATTTGTGGTGAGGCACAGGTACCTCTACAGGTGGCTGGTGAATGAGGAGGTCATTGCCTTGATTTGTCCACAATACCAGCTACTCTGGGCAGCTTCTTGTGCAGGAGGGTCCATTCAAACACAGCAGGGCAGACCGGCTATTTGGACCCTCGGCTTTTGTAAAGCACGCTCTGCCAGGCTGGCAAGGAGCACATCCTGCTGCTACACACGGAGAACCGGCACCGATCATTTTCACCAGGACTTTCAGTTAAAAACCAAAACAAACCCCAGAATAAATCGGTACCAAGCAGGATGGAGGCCAGGAGGTAAAAAAACCACATTGTGGTGGAGGAGGAGAAAAGAACCAGCGCTCGTCACTTCAGCGGCTGCTCTGCCAGGCTGGCAAGGAGCACATCCTGCTGCTACACACGGAGAACCGGCACCGATCATTTTCACCAGGACTTTCAGTTAAAAACCAAAACAAACCCCAGAATAAATCGGTACCAAGCAGGATGGAGGCCAGGAGGTAAAAAAACCACATTGTGGTGGAGGAGGAGAAAAGAACCAGCGCTCGTCACTTCAGCGGCTGATGGAGGGGACCTTCATGCACCGCCCATCCAGCTCCAACAGGGGGTCACCAGCCCCGAGGGGAGCACCAGCGCCCGCTCCAAGCAGCACCGTGCCTGGGTTGGCTTCCAGTGGTGCGATACAGCTCTGCCGTGGCCAAGAAAGCTGAAGGAGCGTGGGGCAGCACGGCATTGCTCGGTTGTTCGTCAGGAAGAAACACCAGTTTCCCCCGTTTGTAGCTGTCAATTGGTAATGCCAGCACAAGACGGGGAATGAGGCCCTGAAGCACTGCACCGTCACCTTTTCAGCAGGGAATTAAACCTGCCCAAGCCCTTCTAGATGAGCGTTTAATTGGAGGCTGCCTTCAGATTGAGCGATAGATCCAGCCCTGTCAATTTGCAGGCTTGCTCCACAGCCTGACTCAGCCCAGCTCCACTGGATGGAATCAGCGGGGCTGAAAGACCCCATCCATCCAAAACAAAAAAACTATTTTATAAGCACGCAAGCTATTTTTTACCTAGTTTTAACCTAACCACACTTTCACCGTATAGAAACGTTTACACTTGGGTAGTCTAAGCCCATGCTGCTCAAGGAAGGGGGCAATATCCAGCAAAGGTGCAGCACAGGGGCGTTCAGGACAAGCTGGCTTTTGCACACTGACCCAGAAGAAATCAAACGTGGCGTGGGCCTATGCTTAAATCGCCATGAGAGTAGCAAGAACTCATCTGTTAAAACCCTTAAGAACTTCGTTACAAGATTGCTTAAACTGTGACTACGCAAGGAAACACAACACGGCCGGGCAGCGATGGGTGGTGATGCCACACGTGGATAACCAGCACGGGCTCGATTCGGAGCGTTACGGTTTATTCTAGGAAGGGCTGCTCCGTGCCTACCGATCAGTCAGACACACTGCTGCTGGTACAAGCAGCATTTCCACGAGGGATTTTTTTTTTTTTTTGCTTGTAGAACAACACCAGCCTTCCCCTACCTGGAAGCTGGGAGATGCACCCATCTCAACAACAAGATGAGCCGTGGGTAACAGCACAGCGCTAGGCAAGAAGCAAACTCTCGGTCGGTGCAGGCGGGTCCGCAGCGGCGGCGGCTGCTGTGTGCAAGCAAGGACCTGCTGGCACATACAGGAGATGGTTTTAAGAGTGTGAGAAATTAGTAATTGCAAAGGAAATCATAGAATCATAGACTGGTTTGGGTTGGAAGGGACCCCTAGAGGTCCCCCAGCCCAACCCCCCTGCAGGGAGCAGGGACACCTTGAACCACATCAGGTTGCTCACAGCCCCATCCAACCTGGCCTGGAATGTTCCCAGGGATGGGGCCTCCACCCCCTCTCTGGGCAACCCCTGCCAGGGTTTCACCACCCTCAGTGTAAAGAATTTCTTCCTTATATCCAGTCTAAACCTACCCTGATGTAGGCCCCGCGCTGGTTTGCGCCTTTTAAAGACAACCCTTTACCCTTTCCTCTGCATCAAACAGCATTTCTCTACCCCCTTAGACTTCCCAGAGAGCTGGATGGCACCGGCACTGTAACACATCGCCATCATCAGGCTGCCAGCAATTGGTTTTCGAGATGGGGCAGAATAAAGTGAAATCCAAGACGATCCGACCGCTGCCTCGTCAGGGCGGCGTGAGGGCCCGTGCTGCGGAAATTACTGGGCTGACGGAGCAGCAAGGAAATCATAGAATCATAGAATGTTTTGGGTTGGAAGGGACCCCTAGGGGTCACCCAGCCCAACCCCCCTGCAAGAGCAGGGACACCTTGAACCACATCAGGTTGCTCACAGCCCCGGCCAACCTGGCCTGGAATGTTCCCAGGGATGGGGCCTCCACCCCCTCTCTGGGCAACCCCTGCCAGGGTTTCACCACCCTCAGTGTAAAGAAT